TTACAACTCGTTTGTAACATGTTTTGCGGCAGTATAAATTTACTTTATATATATATATATATATATATATATATGTAACTGTGTGTACAACAAACTCTTACAGGTATGAAATATGCAATGATTTCCATAAAGGTTATATTAGCTACTTTGATACGAACATTCGTATTCAAAGTAGATGAAAGTATCGGAATCGATAAGATAAAATTAAAGCTTGAGGTTCTACTGTCTCCTATTGAACCTCTGAAAGTCAAAATTGAGAAGCGGAATTTTCTATCAGAAAGAATATAACGTACAAATATATTAAACCAAATATATGATATTTTTGTGTATATAATATTCCGCATATCGTTACATTAGTCAATATTAATGTATATATCAATAGTATGACATTTTCTCAATTAATTATGTAAAATAAAGTGATGAATTATATTAAAATTGTCCGATTTATTTATATTAATTGCCGAAGATTTTTGTAATAAATTTCTTAATGATAAACGATGAGATTAGAGTTCCTTAAAATTTAAGATTCGATCTATCGTCTAATTGTTATTTCAAATCCTCTTTAGTAGACCATATAGAAGATAATAGATTTGTTTTCTTTTTTGTTTGTTTTTTTTTTTTTTTTGGTTAACAGAGGTGTTAATAAAGCAACAAAATACATATGCACTTTATTATGAATATAATTAATATACAGAACCAAAATGAGCGCTTATCATTTCTTGTTTTTTGCTTAAATCGAATTCGAATATCATAATAAGGTGCTAGCAATAAAGGAAGGAAAAAAAAACAGTTATTTTCTCAGCCCCATCAGCAATATATAATTATTAATCGCTACCTACAAAGCGCGTATCTATATCCTACGATTAGAAGGCAAAATTATAAATATCATTGACGAATAGCATGTTAAGAAAACAATTAATTTGTTTTTTTCATATTGCTAATATGATTGTTATTATGATATTCGAATTCGATTTAGGTAGAAATCAAGAAATGATAAACGCTCGCTTTGGTTTTGTATATTGATTAGCATTGCCATAAGTGTATATGATATGTATTTTGTTGCGGAATATTTCATAATAACGATTCTATTACCAATATAAAAAAAGGCATCCATTGTTTTCTCAATCGCTATTCACATTCTCAATAAAACATAGTATAATTATTAATCGCTATATACAAAATATGTCTATATCCCACGATTGAAAAGCAGAAAACGCTGTGTAGAGACACAGTGCGCGCGCTGTGTTTTAATACTTCATATTTAGGCATGCTTCATTATAACAATATGATATACACCGTCTGTTTATATATATTGCATGTTATATACGTCGCGCTAATAAATATAGCAGAATATACTACGATGTACTATATTTATATATACATATGATGGACTAATCGCACATAATATCGTTATCGCTTGGGCCGTAAGCTTTGTCTTAGGAGAAATCGTCTTTCCGGCGTGGTTTGCGGAAATATTTCGCGACTCGTGAATGCCACAGCAAGAGGCGCTCAGTTGCCTCAACGCATCGGTTTTGGTCACGTGGTGGTCTCCGATACTTTTCTGGAACGACCGCTC